ATTCAAGAAATATATTGGCAAATGAGAAGAAAAATAAAATATGTCCTTAAATCGCACTGATTTCATTTCTGACCGTATGATTTATATTATTATGTATTATTTCTCATTTTTTTTTTGCTATATCTTTGTTAGTTTTTCATAAAATCCAATTTTTTTAAAACATTTTCTCATTCAGTGCCGAAAAATATAAGTGCATTCCCAATACAAGTGAGGAAAAATGCTATGAAGAAATACAAATTTTATGTATGCCAAGTTTGATAGTTTGGCAACCTGGACTGCTGTACAAACTCCGAAAATTCCTACCATCTACATAATTCTTCATTATCCGTTCTTACCTTACTGATAGATACTTTAAAGTAGATCACAACAATGTATATACATCCCGCTTTTCCCAGTCTGCAGGCGTTCCTCAAGGTAGTATCGTAGGTCCTATAGGCGTATCCTATAGTCTATAGAGCTGACAATCCAACACTGTCATCACCACTATTGTATCATATCAGTTAACAACGACCCATAAATTGCATCCCTATCCCTTCAATCACACATCACAAACCTTGAAGGATGGTGTCAAAACTGGAAAATTAAAATAGATCCCATCAAATTACCTTTACGCTTCGCTGTAAACCAATGACTTCCTGTCCTTCAATATCCTTTGACAATACCTCGCTTATTCCTGTTGAACAAATCCGTTACCTAGGACTACACCTAGACAAAAGTCAAACTTGGAATCCTAATACCAGACTGAAACGAACAGAAACCGCTCGACGTTTCCGAATACTTCAACACTTACTAGACAAACGTTCTAACCTTCCAATTAATTACAAAAGACTCATGTACATGACTATAATAAGGTCTATTTGGACTTGAGCTATGGGGCTCGACCAAAACTTCAAATTCCTCTCGTATCCAATCCTTACATTCCAAAATCGTTCGTAAAATCCTCAATGCTCCCTACTTTGTGACAAATAAAATCATCCACAATGACCTTAATGTTCCTTATGTTTCAGATTTGGCCCAATCCAGATATCTATCATTCCATAATAAACTTCATAACCATCCAAACCCTCTTGTTTCTAACCTTGCTTCCTATTCAATTCCTGATAATTCTCCGAGGCGTCTAAAAAGAAGATGGCTCCATGATCTCCTAATATAGACATATTATTGGAGTTCTACAAGAGGGTAGTTTCTCAAGATGTGTTTGATGTCATTATATCCATGTACGAATTTACTAGATGTATTTTTTTTTTTTATACAGTTGTAAATATCATATAAATATTTTTTTTTTAAATGTTTGCCTAAACTCAAATGTTTTAGTACATTATTTTTATTAATAATAATTATAATCGACCGAAAAAAATAATCAATTCCTCCCTCTCATAATATATTTCGCTTACTTATTTTTATATTTTATGAGCAATTTTTTACTGACCTACATGTTATGTGAATTATTCGCACGGGTTAATTATTTATGATAAAATAGTAAACTGTAAAAATAATATTAACTATATAATGTGTATTATATTATTTATAAAATCAATTATATTAAGTCGATAAAAAAAAAAAACTCAAGTTTTTGTCTACTAATACTTATTCGTGTTTTTATCAACCTTCGAAAGTAGGTGAATTGGTAAACGATCAATATAGCATTTTCAAGTTAATTTGACTTCCTTTCAATAAGAATAAAGATGATTTTAAACATATGAGAATATGTGTAATTTTTAGGTTTTATAATATTATAAAATCAAAACATAGCTACATGAAATAAAGCTGTGCCCTGGAGGTAAGGTACACTGTTTCCATTTTTTTTCTTAAATAATTTAGTAACTAAGCAACAAATTTTAATAGATCAAAGTTCTGGAAAATTTTGCTTGAATTCAAATTTTCTATGGAAAGTTGACTCCTTGAACAAATAATGTGACATGGCGTCCTTCTTTTACATCCGGAGTTCAGATTAATAACTAAGAAATAAATTTTTTTAATAACTCGAAGCTAAGATTTGGCTCCTCTCAACAAATACGAAAAAGGTATTTCTTCTGTTCTTTACCTTCGGGGTACAGATATGTATGATATAAATTGACGGCCATATGAAATATTTTATTAAAAGCTCACTTTCGAAGATAAATAACTAACCCTGAAAAAAACTAGGGGCGCACGAAGTCATGAGATCGTACGTTAAAAAAAAGAATTAAAACGAAAAATTAATTTTCCTTCATAGAGTTTATTTATCAATTACCAATCGCCACAATAGTATGAAGAGGCAGCTGCAAAAAACTTTGAAGCTTGAAGTATCCAAACTTTAAATTCTGCCACGTTTATTAGAAAAATATTTTTTTAAGCTCAAACTTTACTTTTTGTTAGTAGGTGTACCAAAGTCAAATTTAGTGGGTTTAAAAGCCAATTTGTTTCACAATCTTTCGAAAGTTTCATTGAATTAAAAAAATAGAATAAAGAATGAAGGAAGGATAGTTGGGGTGATCAGTCCAAAATAACAATGGTAAAAATAAATAATAATATTTATTTTAACATTTACCGACGTTTCGACCCGAAGTTCAGGCCTTCATCAGGGCTGATCGTTATAGATCGAAGAGATCGCTATTGATAGAATGAAAGGAAAAATAGAAAATGGTGTAGAGATGGTTGGTCGTGATATGATATGAGGAGTTGGTCGGGGGTGTAGTTAAACAAATACTATAATCTAGAATAGTATTTTATTGAAAATACTATTTTATTTTCACTGTGTATCTTTTATATGTATATATATATATATATATAATATATATATATATATATATATATATATATATATATATATTATATACATATATTTTACTAATATTAACTAAGACTTCTGTATATTTATATATAAGTTCATGTATTATCCTAAGGATAGAAGAGTATGCTGTGTGTATAGCAACCCAATATAATTGGGCAGCAATCCTTTATATTTTATATTTTATGAAAATAAAGTGTTTCTCTCTCTCTCTCTTTTGTATACTTTTTGAAGACATACAAAGTGGGTGAGAACGTCGGCGTAACTAATAAAATACTATTCCTGTTTATAGTATTTATTTGACCCCACCCCTGACCAACTCCTTCTTATATGAAAAAATACAATATTAAGGCATAGTGAACATAGAATGGCATTAGATATTCAGATCAGATTCTTTTTCCAAAAATACATATCACTTTTGAAATTATTTCGGTAAAGAATTTTTTTTTAATATGGTAATTTTTGAAATACATAAACGCTTTCTACAAATATTTGGTGTCTGATCTCTCAGCTCTCCTTTGTGCCTACGTTTTAAATAAAAATAATAAAAAGCTTAGCGAACCCAAAGAAGGTTCGATGGCTACAAGACCAATCGGTGTCTAGATACTTCCATCCACCGACAGCCGTCCAAACCCAACCCCGCTTGATCAGCCTTAACACGATCCTTTCACCTTAGCCTGGGTCTACCCCTCGGAAGCCTACCAATCGGGACAGCGCATATTAACGTTTTAAGGATTCTTTCGCCAGCTCTAAGCCCAACAATTTTAGATAACCATTTTATTTGCAATTTATTAACTGGTTACGATTCATGCGGTAGTCTTCTACTCACATTTCTTCGGTCCGAATATTCTACGTGATGACGTTTCCTTAATGTAAGCGACCACGTTTCGCATCCTTAAAGAACAGTGGGATGGATAATGGTTTAGTAAATTCTATTTTTTTAGTTTCGGGACAGAAGATCCGATCTAAGTAGTTTTGAAACATAAAAATATCAATAATATATTTTAAACACAACAAAATTTAATAATGAAGTAAATTATTTCAATTTAGCTTATTTTATGCATGAATGACGATCATACAGAACTAACAGAAAATACCAAATTTAGAACTCGTGTTGAAGCTACGTCGAGGTACTGCCAGGCTTCAAGCGGTCACGGTTTCATTCAAATTTTGTATATTAAATATAAAATATCGTCGGTTTATTATAAAGAAATCAGTAAATGGCACTTCATAACCTCAAATAATTAAATACTTTGATGAATTTTCCTTTCATGAAATCTGAAAGTTGTGCACTTAATGTAATTGTATATGTTGAATCAAAGGGTTTGTATAATGTTCATGCACTTGCGGTGTTTTTGAATAGATAAATAAGGTTAAAATTTACAAAAATATATTTGAAAGTTAACCTATTTCAAAAATGTAATTCGATTGAATGGCTTTTTGCAATAAACTGACGATATTTTCCTTCGAATTAAGGTTATGGTTGACAAACTACTGACAATCCGCTGTCATTGTTCTAGTTTGATTACATAAACCCAATAAGGAAACGGAAAGCATATGAAAAGTGCATATTGTTTGGCACTGGCGGATCCACGGGGAGAAGGCTATTTTACTGAAGCATCCCCAAAATGAAATAAATAGTTTTTTTTTTCATTGGTCCATTGTATTACATCCATAAAGCATACACAGCTATTAAATGTAAACATGTAACAAGAAAAAATACTTCTAAAAGCATTATTATTCCTATAATTGCTGGTTTTTTTTTTTTTCAACAAGCCTTCAAGGACTATTTAGACATCATTGTTTGTATTTTCTCTTTTTCAGAGTAATCACCGCGACAACAAAAACAAAAAAAAAAATGAAATTCTGAATCAGCTTGGGATGCATGGGAAAAACTATATTTGTTTGTATTTGTATTGCAAGGTAATCTTCAATTATTACAAAGAGTGTTTTATAAAAAGCGTAAAACAAGTTGGATTATATGGTTAGATATACAAAAAGTTTTTATATATTGTTTTCTTATCAAAAATTTTTCCTGAAAAACTGGGGTAATCTCTTGTTGGTTGAAGTGTTGTCCGGTTCGAGCGGTTTGTTTGGTAGGTTATTGGTCAAGTTTTTATGGGGACCATAACACATAAGGTAGAACTAAGTTAGGGGTAGACTAGAATAAATGTATGAGAGTAGTAGAGTAGGTGGGGGCGGGGAGGGGTAGCGCGTGTGTGTAGGGGTCATGTACCCTTCCACGTGGTGTGGACGCGCCTTAGCTATTGCATCAAGGCCACTCCGTTCTCTCCCTACCCCTCTTCAACCCGCCTTAAATTGTTTATTCTGTCTCTCAACAGATCCCTACTTCAACTCCAACTCCTCATAAACAGCCGATAAATTTTTAAAAATCCTCGACTCATTATTTTTGACAACAGCTAAAAGAGCGATTTACATTTAATTTTCTAATTTTTATAAAAATGAATTCCAAAACTGTAGTTATAAAACCAATCATAAAATATTTAATTTCTCAAACAGTTGATATTAAACGTAAATGCCATTGATAAAACCAATTTAAAGAATAGATTGGCTGATAAGATGAGTCGGATTTAGAGGGGTTTTACCGGGATGCCGCTAGGGGCGCTAGCAGTGAGCGAACCAAGGGCAGATTGCTGACATGGCGTCTTAGAGCCAGTGTATTATTTCCAACCCGTTTCGGTGTTCATCCCTCTCATCAGGAACCACAACAATGCCGAGGTAAAACTGTGAGGTTAAACATAAGAACCTTCTCTAGAAGTGGAATGTTTTTTTTAGTGGCTTTGATCAATCAGTGAACAGAAGAGTGCTTTAAAATTGTTAAATACGCATTAGGGTCGTCGACACCTTGATAGGATCAATATATTTCTGAAATTTTTAAATCTCCGATTAAGGAATAATTGAAAGAATAAATTTTAAAAAATATAATATCCGATTCTTCTTTGTTAATATATTTATATATTTTATTTTTAATCAATTCTTTAAAATCGATCGTTTTAAAAAGGGTTGAGTAAAAATGTTAATGGGGTGGGGGAAAATTGTGCAACATGGCGGAAGGGCTGGGCGTTTTAGTTTAATTCATAACTTTTTAACTTTGTATTATGCTGTGAAATGATTTGAAACTACTAGGTAAATATTTCGTGTATTTTTTTTTACAAATATTGTTTGGTCAATGGTTAGTTTCTGTCTCGATCGAGGATTAAATAAATTCTTCTGTTATCACTAAAACACCTGTGTGATTCATCAATTTAGGCTGTTAAGATTAACCAAATTCTCTCTTATCATTACTGTCGACAACAGTGACATTTCTATTATCTTTAATAAAATTATAAAAATTTTGGTTTTTCACTTGTTTTTCATAAATTTAATTGCTTGCTGTGGTCTGAATTGGTTGCTTCAAATTTGTCCTTCAATGTTAACATAGTTGTCTGATTTCAGTTAATATCCCAGAAGCCCTAAGTGATATCATTCAGTTGTTTGTATTTTTAAATCCATTTTTTAAATTTAGTTTTATCTTAATGGGAATATTAATTTTCTTTTGTGTGGAATATTTGAAATTAAATTATACGTACATAATTTTTTTTAAATTAATTTTATAGTAGAAACATTAATTTTGAAATCTTGTATGTAAATTATTAAATTAATATTATATTATGAAATAACACAGGCAGCCATGCTTGATTATTTATTCCATTGTCAAGATTCCCAAGGGTAACTTTTTTTCCTGCATCAATTAGCATTTATTTCAAAGTGTGAAGTTTTAAGTGAAAATTGGTATTGTAAAAGTTTATTGTTATTTAATTGGAATATGTACATTTTTATTAATAAGATCAAATATATGATTTATTATTTATTCAATGCTTGTTTTAGGTACTTATCGAAAGTCGAAAACAAACAATAGGGGGGGATCAACCATGGGATCTCAAAGGTTTTGTCTTCGATGGAATAACCATCAGACCAATCTTCTTTCTGTATTTGATCAGTTGCTACACGATGAAGCATTTGTTGATGTAACTCTGGCTGTTGAAGGACAATTTCTCCGTGCCCATAAAATGGTTTTATCAGCCTGTAGTCCATATTTCCAGGTATGCTTTTTTAATATTCGGAAAATAAGTTTGATATTTAATGAACTATTACTAATTAAGGTTACCTTCATTGTTAGTTTTTTATTAATTATTTTAAAGTTATCTCAGTTGTAGTTATACTTATTTCTTACTGTTACTATTTTGTAACCCAGTTTTGATCCTTAGTCATTAATGCAGCTCTAAAAGTATATCTTTATAATTTCTTATAATGTAATACTTAATTTTTTTTATTCTATTTTTTCCAGGCTTTGTTTGTTGGTCATCCTGATAAACACCCAATCGTTATTTTGAAAGATGTTCCCTATTCGGATATGAGATCTCTTTTGGATTTCATGTATCGTGGTGAAGTTAGTGTTGATCAAGACAGACTTACTGCATTTCTTAAAGTGGCTGAGTCTTTGAGGATCAAAGGTCTTACTGAAGTAAATGAAGAACGATGTGATCTTCCCTCAATAGCTAATTCTTTGTTGAATCAAACTCTTCCACCACCACCACCTCCACCTAGTCTTCATAGGCTTTCTATGCCACCAAATGCTCAGCCAAAACGTCCAATTCCTCCAAACGCTATGCTCAATTCAGCTTTGACTGCACCTAAACGTAAAAGGGGTCGACCTCGAAAACTCTCAGGTAGCAGCCCGAATCCTCCTCATCTGCCACATCCTGATGTTGATCATGAGGATCAGAAACCACCGATCGCTCCAGTTATGGAAAACCATTTAGGTAAGTAGCAATTAGTGATGCTCAGGTTATTAATAATAAGTACAAATAAATTGTTGAATTTAGTTCAGTTAGATGAAAATTAACCATATTTAAACATTGATTTCTTAAATTTGGGATCAAGAAATGAATTTCTTAATACTTTTACTGTTGATGTTCTCCTTTTTTATAATAAACTTAATAAGACGTTTTTCTGATAGTAATATTATTTCATTTCCTTTTTAAAAAAAATGACTTGTTTAAGTTCTTTCATTTTAACTTATACTATTCATGTATAAGTTGTATAAAAATTGTGTATGTTAAAACATCATTTAGGCTTTGAATAGTTCTGGCAACTGTTTAATTGGAACATAATTTAGTTTTGGTTTATTTATCACGATATAAGTCATAAAAATAGTTGTTAATTTAATTTTAATTCAATAATTATTTAAAATTAAATTATTTAGTCTATATTATAATTATTCTTAGAAATTTTGTTTATATCTACAGGTGTAGGACCTCCTTTTCCCCAAATGCCACTACAACTGCAGCATTCTCAACAAACAAACTCTTTAACGATGGCAGATATGGCTGTGGGAAATTATAGAAGCGGCCTCGGGCCAGTTGTTCCTCCTCAGGGAATTCCACAATCCTGTAATAATCCTCCTCATCAAAATTCTAATCTTCCACATACAGTTCCGACTGAAGATCCTGAGTCACCTAAGATTGAAGACGAAGAGGAAGAGGATTGTGAAGAAGTACACAAAATTGAAGACGGAGAAGAAGATGGATGTTTGGAAGAAGACGAGCCTCCAGACCCACAGCATCTGAAAACAGAGGAACCGAAACCTAGTACTTCTGGACAAGGTATTCCTTTGTTAATGTCTTTTTAACCTTTCAGATCACTAACTCCGATTTCAACATTTTTTGAGCAGTCATTTTAGTGATATTTCTAGTTGGAAAACTTATAATATCAGGACAGCCAATAAGTAATTTGATTTCAGAGTAGGTGATTGCAGTTTTGAGATATAGAACTGTGAATAAAGGTGTAAATTTTCCCACTACAATTATCACTAAAATAAATAATCAAATATGTTGGAGTTGGACTTGGTCATTCTGTCTACTGAAAGGCTCTTTTGATATATTTATTATTGATTAATGTCTCTTACTTACAAATTATGAAATTCATTTAAACTGTTTGGAAACTAATTTATACAAACTGTTCATCTTAAGTTTGAAATTTCCTGTTTACTAGGTAGGTATATTAAAACAATGAACTATCTTATGAGCAACTTATGAACTATATCTTCAGAATTTTAAAATTACTTTATTTCCTATTATTTTTATTGCTCCTCATATCATTTGATAACAGAACCTGTAAAATTGAATGTTTTTGTTGTTGTTTTTAATTTCTTACTAGTATGAGCTTTTAATGTTCGAATAACAAAGTTTTCTATTCTCATATTTTTAAAAAAGGTATTGGAGGACAGGTGAGGTAAGGAGAGGTGACCTTGGGAGGGTAGAAGTGGGGTTGCAGCTCCACCCTCCCCACTCCTAGTACAGTACCCACCCTCCTCTATTACATTACTTCTCTTATCCTGTCATCCGATTCTTTCCATGTTTATTTATCATTATTGAATATTGCTTTAATTATTAGGTAGACATTTATTAAAATCAGGGAGAAAATTTTACCTGTTTTAATAATTTATTTTTTTTAAATATAATATAATTTTAATAATATAATATTTAAAATACTAAATGTAATTGTGATTATGCTAGTGTAATTTATAGTTTGATTTTTATTTCCAGATTCATTGGCATCATTTCAAAGCTCAACTCAATCTGATGGCGAAAGGTTTTCATCATCTGGTGAGATATTGATTTAACCTTTTTAGGTTTAGTAATTACGTTTTGCATCAAACATTATACTACAGTAATTTGATATAGTATAAAAAAACGTTATACTATATATCTTTCATATTTATATATTCTATTTTTTATTGTTTATGAAATAAAACTCATTATGATTTTTTGGGCAAGCAAGCTGCATTTAATTTTTGATACAGTTGCATGAATTTTGCAGTAATAACAAAATTTCATGCCGAAGAATCATTTAACTAATGCTTTTGTACCATATAGACGTATACATTTATAATCGTAAACTTCAAAATTTCTTTTTATGTTGATACTAAAGTTCGTTTCACGAATAGAAAATTGGCTATGACAAGCAGATGGGACACCTTCCTCAAACCTCTGTGTGTCCTTATCTGTGGTTGAAATTGATTCAACATTTTATGGCCATTCGCGCGAATAGTTTCAGTTAAAATGTGCGACATATGAAGCGTTTTAAATCAGAAGCCATTTGCAGTCATCAGAAGTTGCCGTTGTAAGAAGATAGTTTCAAGAGGTAAGTTAGGTCCAGAATTATTGTTTTTTATTTTTATATTTCCATGAGGAATGTGTCCCATCTACTTTTTTCTTTTGGTTCTGGGTTTATTCTTCCTTATGCTTTAAAAGCTCCTGTAGACTATTAATTTGCATGATATTTTTATTATTACTGTACTCTTTTAGTCCCCTTAAATTTTGTGTATGCAGATAAAGTCACCAGAGCATGCTTTGCTTTTCTTAACATTATTCCGTCTTCCTTTTATTTTTATTATTATTTTTTTTATTGAAATAAAAAGAATGTGAAAATTCATGTAACTCTTAGTTGGTAATGCAAAATCTATCCCAATAATTAACTATGTAATTAACATTTACTTTTTATTCTGTTTATGAATGTGGTACTATACTTTACCTTATCTATTTACTTCATGTCTTAACATTGTGTGGTGCTCATCTTTCTTTTATTTCATTTTTTATTAACACATTATCTTTAGATTTGTTAACAACTGCTTTTATCTTTTTAACTAATTTCTTTCTATAATTTTTTTGCAGTTATTACTACTGTCATATGACTATAAAATTTTATCATTTCTTTCAGGGCTGAAGATGGAGCCAAATTCCGATTTTATTGAAATCGATGAAGAAGATACATCAAATATTATGGCTAGTTTTGATGATTTAATTGCTTGTTCCCCGGCATCATCGGATGTAGAAGAGAATGTTGAAGCTGAATTTTCTAGTCAAGCTATTGAACCTGAATTTGCTGATGAAGATATTAGTCAATTTGAAGAAGATTCATTACGTAGCCTGATAGGCAGATTGTCAGACACTGATGGAAATAGACGACGAATAGACAAAATGTCAATCAGAAAGTTCTGTTCTCGAGAAGGGGATCAAGTACATAGATGCACCATTTGCTCAAAAGCATACACCCACATTAGTAACTTTTGCCGCCACTTTCTATCAGCACATTGTGGAAACAAGCAAGAAGTCCATTGCCCTATTTGCAACAAACCCTTTACGAGAAAAGATAACATGATGACTCATGCTAAGCAGGTTCATGGTTTATCATGTATGAGGGGATCAATGTCCGAACAGTTACCTAATTATGACCAACAAGCCGATTGAATTTATTAGAATTTTAGTTAAGAAATCAAGACCAAGGAATTTTGTGATATATAAGATTTTATAGTTAATGAAATTTTATTAGTATTTTGTTTGAAATAATTGACCAAATATTTTATACCATTAAGGAATATGTAGAATCATTGTTGCTATCAAGAGTCCAGAGATTTCTAAAATTATGAAAGAGAAGTATTTTCTTTTCTTTTTAAAAAAAATATATATATTTAATATAGGAATAAATATTGTTCTTCATTAAATTTATTTACTGTTAATTTTTTAATGTTAAGAAAATTCACTATTTTACCATTATTGAGTGTGACACTTCATTTTCTATTCTATATGTTGTCTGTTATTAATTGTGGTTAATGTTTCATATGTACCAAGTATTATGAAATGAAACAAGATTTATCACATTTTATTGTATCTAGTCATTTTTTCTTAGTCTTAATATAATTTTTACTATATAAGTTTAGTGTTTCTTAAATTTAAATGTTTCCTTATAGGATAATTACATATCACATCTCTGAACTCTTTAAAAAACTATTAGGATTTATAAATGTTTTTACCATTTTGACTAATATATTAATCAGTGCCTTAATATTAATCTTATTCAGGGTAATATCAGCTTATAATTAAAATATTTATCTTTTTACGTGATCTATAAATCATGGAAGTCTGCTACTAGTCCACCTTCGCTAGTCTTCTTTATTTGTTAAAATGCACCAAATGTTTAATATTACCAATGATATATTAATTATTTATTTACGACTTGTTTTATTTAATATTATTTATCCAAAGTTTATTTATTTAGATTTCAAATGTCTCATTGTGAGAAATAGTGCCTATGTGTGGTCACAGACCCCAAAAAAAAAAATTTATAAAGGAACATATCTTCCGTTTATCTGTTTGAATATATAACATCTGCGATGTTTCTTTATATTGTATTTGAATTTCTTGCTTCTAAGAAAGTTAATTTATTGTTAAAACATTAGATATATTCTTTATTGTTATTTATCGATACTGATAATAAAGGATACACCAATGGGTGATCTTTCTTTTTCTTTACCTTTTCACCAATTTGATTTTCACAACAAAGAAAAAAGTTCTTTCTTGTGTGCTGTAATTGAAATTTATGTTTATTAAATTTATTGTCGCCTTATGAATATGGTGTAATTTCAGTGTTTTACAAATTGTTTTAATTTTTTTTTCTTGGTTTCGTTTACCACTAGAGATAATTTTTTTTATAGTATTTTCTCTGGTTATTAATTTTTTTTTTTCTCGATCAAAAACTTCCTCTTATTCTATTTTATCATTACCCTCTCTTATTCCCATAATTGTTCTGGTTTTTTTATAGTTGCCTGTGTTGACATTTTGGTCATATATATATTCTGCTCACAAGAAATATGGATGGATTGGTCTCACAACTGTTTATTTTTTGTCTAATTTATCTGGCAATATTTCGTTAATCGTTACAAGTTTGACTTTTAATATTTTCATGTTCTGTTTCGCCTTTCTTCTAATACATGAAACAGACAACAACAAAATGGCCAATGTTTCCAAGGTAAATATTTATCTTGAAATATATTGATTATTAAGGTTTGGAAACAGATTCTTATTTTTAAATTGTTTACAGTCAGCATTAGTGAGGATAAATATTAGTAAGTGTTTTACTAAATTTTGAATTTTTATCAAATTTACATGTTTTTATTTTGTTGTCTTTGTTAGTTATCAATCTTCTCGGTTTGCATTTTCATAGGAAAAAGCTTGAAATTAATTATATTTGAGTTTCATTTTATTTTCAGTCATGCGTAGTTTTAGTTAAATCTTTTTATTTACTCCTCAATCAGGTATTATTTGGAAACCAACTATTTGATATAATAAGCACCATTGTTTGCATGTCTTTTTTTATCTGCTTTATTAATTTGAATTAATTAGCTTTCCTATTAAATTGAAATTTCTCCTATCGGACATTCCAAAAAATAAAATAAATGCTCTGGTATTAACCTTAAAGAAAAAATGAGCAGGAAGTCTGGAGCATCCTTGAGGGCGGAATACTTTTCACCACCTTTACTGACCACTTATGCTTTCTTATTTAAGGCATTGTTCAAAACTGCCCAAAATCTCGAGTCACTGACTGAAAAATTACCTACAGCCTCATAGAAACTCCGGGAGATAGTTTAAAAGTAGAATTGATCACTCGAGTATCCGGTTTAATGAGTAAGATTCTGACTTGTACATGAGGCCACCATTGCCTGGGCCCAATTCTGTTTCGATTCATATATCAGTCCGCCGTTAGTAAAGGGCTAATTAATATTTAGTTAGATATATTAATACATAATAAAAATTAAAATCTGGAGTATCCACTCACGACTTTCCTACCTATTTCAGAAAAGTTTTTGTATCTTTAAATATGTTGATCAAGGAACAAAAAAAAAAAAATTTATTTAGATTTGTTTTCCTGAAAATTGATCTAAGAAAAGATTTGAGTATGATTTATTCGATAAACTAAAGCAATGTAAACCGGCTTAAGGTAGATCAGTGTAAAAATGTCAATACCCTCTAATATTGCTGATTAAAAACATTTTGCCTTAGGATAATTTGGTCAAACGATTAAAATAAAAAAGTAGAGGAGACTGTTAAAAGTAGAGGAAATAGTGAAGCTTGTGTGATGCGGGCAACAGATTTTCTTACTTTGACTTATTCATTTTTTCCTCGCATTCACCCCTTTCTGACACCAAGATATAAACCTGTAATCTTACATTGAACAATGAATAGCTGTAACTTCGTTAAAAGTTGTCCAAAATGAACGATTTTTATACAGTTTTATAGAGAATTTCATTACCTTTCAAAAAACCATGCTAATTTTTTTCCCCCTTCGAACTCGTGGGGCTCAGAAAGATAGAGATCCATCAAAAACCTCATATCAGAAGTTTGACCCTATCACAATACTTTCCTTACCTAGTATAGGTAGGAAAGTAAAAATTTATACTTATGCCTGTGCTGAATCCAATAAAAATACCCACAATAATAAAACGATTTTCCTCCTATGTGATCAACAATTCTCTAATTTTTTCTACCATGACACTCATCTGATAAAAAAGAAAAATTATGGCACCCTTATAGGGTGCCATAATTATTGCCTTATACAGACAATAATTAAATAATTATTAAAATTTAGAATCTATATAAAGTCAGGACAGTGATAAAGAATGTGTTAATTTTAACAGATGATATATGTTTTAAATATTTTTCTAAGATTAAGGCAGATATACTTCCGTTTTTCCATATTAAAATTTAGAATCTCTATATAAACTCAGGACAGTGACAAAGATTGTGTAAATTTTAACAGATGATATATGTTTTAAATATGTTATACCTCCTATAATTTTTAATTTTACTTACCTATTTATGAAAATGCTTATTTATACTTACTGTAGTGTGGTAGTAATAGTTGTATGATACATGAATCACACTAGATTTTTTACTTTCATTTAACTATATATGTAATATATAGTAAGGGAGCATATTGCGATATAATATATAGTAAGGGAAAGTATTATACGTTTTGAGGTCCCCTGAGTCCAAATAATGAAATCCCACAAAAAGTCGTAAGAAAGTGAAATAGAATATTTAAGATTTTTATATGCGTGGGATGTTATAGCAACTTTTTTGTCGATATCGGCTACCCGGAATGGCAGTTTACACTGGCATCAATGTAACAAATTTTGACGGTTTTCTCAAAAATGGCTCTAACGATTTTGATTTAATTCATTACATCAGTGTAAAATTAAGCAGTCTTTAATATTATGTAGGTTTTATTCTCATTGATTTTCTCTAACAGGGTTTAAATGGCTAATTTTGAATATTAGCTTCCCATAAAGTACCTTTAATTTTTTTTATTTGAAACAATTAACCATTTCACGTTGATCTCATTAGAGATTGTTTATATTAATAAAAAATAGTTAAATATGTAATATGTAAGAATTTGATAATTAACTAAAGGAGAAATAAGAGATCGTAACGGAGAATAGTTGTAATGAAGGCAGCAACGGAATAGGATCTTGCCCAAAGATTAGAACAGGCTACCATACGTAACATGAGCTTAATATAATACGGACTCCTACAATATTATGTATATATACTTATGCGATATTCACAAATGTTTTCATTGGTATTATTTAATATTTAATTGTATAGATTACAGCGATATAAATATTAAAATTTGTATACACAAGGGCACTTAAACAAATAGAAATACTCACAATGAAATATAGCATTGATAATTTTACTTTCACTTCCCCTTTGTCTGAAAATACTTATTTCTTCTAAGAAAGGGGTGGTAAGTGAAAGTTATGTGATGTGCACAGCACCAGATTTTTAAATATGTTCTACTGGGGTTCAAACAGTGGGGAAAAAGTTAATATTCAACTTTTTATTCTATTTGTGCTAAAGGTAGCATTTTGTAGCCTGCAACCGATATAAGTAGTCTACTACGATAGAAAATAGCAGATGACAATAAAATATGAAATTATACTGATAAAGCATAAAGAAATAATGAGTTTTTATGCACTCTTGTAAAACAATCAATTTTTACATTACAACCTTTTGCACTAACAGTAGTGAAATGCATGTTTAGTATGTTTTTTTTTCTTTATTTTATTTAAGGGTAATAAAACATGGAATCTTCAAGTACGGCACTCTTTCGCATTTTAATATTAGCTGATAAACGAAATTCGTGGATATCAAACCCGCGATTGTTGAAGGGTAATGTATTTCCGAATCGGCTTCTCCCAGAGTTTTTATACTCATACGAAAAATTGTATACCTTGTAATATTTTAATATTTTAGCCAATGAAAACGGTGAGGAAGCTATACTGACCTTACTTGGCAGACATTTTTTAACTGTGTAAATAGAGTTTATTATATATACTTAATAATGTTTAATCTTCATAACAAAAATATTGTTGATCACATAAATTCAGCATGGAGATTACAATAAGATAAAATTAAATACAAGCAGAATCAGTACAAGGAAATAATATAATACTTATCATTAGAATATTATAATGTAAAGGACAGCCTCTTATTTGTTTTCAACCGATCATTAGGAAAACTGTTGTCAATCGCTTTAGCACAGCTTCGTATAAATATTGTTTGCAGTCGATAATAATAATAATGTGCAGAGAAAAATGTATAAGAATTTTAGAGTCTAAGCATGTTTTTCTTATAAACAATAACCCTATGAGCCTTTTACTATTAATTTTAGTGATGTTTCTAGTGGAAAAATACATACGTTTATTCACAGTTTATATATATATATATATATATATATATATATATATATAAACACTGCAATCACCTATTATGGAATCGACTTAATCACTGACTTTACTCACAAATGTTGAAATTTGAGTAGTCGTTCTGTCAACTGAAAGGATCATATGTTAGTGTTATCTAGATTGGGTTTAGGGAGAAACCAATATATATTTATAACACTGTCAGAGATAACTAAAAGTATGATTTACGGTGAAGTTCTTTAAATTTGTGCAAGCTCCAGCTGGTATTGGAACCAGTTATATTGTTGGTTACAAGTTGTGTTTGTTAACACATAAATAATCAATTTAATTTAATTTTTAACTTAGTTTATAAATAACTGATTTTATTAATCTGTAAGAATTGCAATGGTATTAGATAACAAAATACATTAATATGAACAATATAAATAAATAAAAACAAAAACCTGTAAGAATTAATTGAATTGAATAAAATAAGTTTATAAACCAAGTTAAAAATTACAATACACTTTATTATTTATGTGTTTAACAAACACAACTTATAACCAAAAATGTAACTGTATGTCCAATATCAGCTGTTATTTTCATTTTTATTAAATAGTTTAAATAAGACCTCCTTATAAAAATTAGTCTGAAGCCATCAAGCTGAAGATCTTTTCTTCCCAATCATTTTTTTTTTTCAATTATTGTTTCTATATAAATTTCTGATGTTATTTATTTAATCGTGTACACTTGATATGTATGAAAGCGAAAAGTCAA